CCACTGCCGCAACCACTGCAGCCACAGCCGCAATCACTGCAGCCACTGCCATTGCCGCAGCCGCTGCTGCCGCTTGCACTGCTGCCGGTTGCGCTGCTGCCGCTGCCACTGCCGCAGCTGCTGCCGCCACTGCCACTGCTGCAGCCGCCGCTACCACAGCTTCTGCTGCCGCCACTGCCACTGCCACAGCTACTGCAGCCACTGCCGCTGTCGCCACTGCCGCCGCTGCCTCTGCTGCTGCAGCTGCCAGCTGCCAGCTGCCGCTGCCCTGTCCCGGTCCATGGTCTAAGTCAGAGCGCTACTTTCTAGTCGTCGTTGACGACTTCTTGCGCTTCACCACAGTGTTCCCATTGGAGCAAAAGGCCAACGTGCCTACCGTTCTCCTCCTGTGGCTTCTCACTGTTCGCACCCACCAGTGCCTGCCAGTAGGTCGCTACACTCTGACCGAGGTGGCGAGTTTGCCTCTGGCACTCTAGGACGGTTATGTCGTGGGGAGGGCATCTGCCAGACGTACAAACAGTCGGACTCCCCACAGTAGAATTGGGTCGCTGAGCGACGCATCAGCCTGATCATGGAGTTGGCTCCCTCCTCCATGGTTTACACAAGTGCACCCCATTTTATGTGGTCATGTGCGCTACGATGCTCACCAGCTTAACCTCTGGCGATACTCCTAGCGGCCATAGGATTCGCCGACCCTCCTCTGGACCGCGTCTCCTGGTGACGCGTCTGCGTTCCACGTCTGGGACAGCCTTGCTCATGCCCTCGACACTGGCGCGGACAAACTTTCAGCTCGCACCCTTCCTTGTGTCTTCCTGGGGTTTCCGCTTGATGCCTCTGACTGGTTGTTCTACCATCTATCACACCACCACTTTCACCACTCTCGTGATGTTACCTTTGACGAGACGCTCCCCTACTACCACCGCTTCCCACACCGCAGCACTCGTGTGTCTCCTCTTCCTAACTTTCTCGTCCCTGTCCCGCCTGCCGCACCCTTCCCACCTCGCCCGGCCCAGTCTGGTGTCTCCCACGCCTTTTAGATCCCCTTAGTTTGGCCTGTAGGGGACTCGGCTTAATCTGGGGGCCATGCTCCTGGGGGCGTGCCTGCTGTCCCTGTGGCGCCTCCCCCAGCCTCGATACCCCAGTCACCTCAGCCGCCTGCCCCTTTGCCTAAGCAGCGGCAGCAGTTGCCACAGCAACCTCAGCGGCCGCAACAGCAGTAGCAAGGTGCAGTGGGCTCTGGGGGTGCTGGTTCTTAGGGGTGCTGGTGTTGAAGTGTTGGCATTGGGGGTGTTGGTTCTAGGGGTGCGAGTTTTGGGAGTGCTAACTCTGGGGGTGCTGGTTCTATGGGTAGTGAGTCCAAGGGTGCTATTCCTGGAGGTGCTATTTTAGGGAGTGCCGGTGGTAGCGGAGGTGCCGCTGGAGATCCCTGTGAGGACAGGGGGCAGCTGTAGCCACAGCAGCAGTCGCAGCACCACCAGCAGTCGCAACAGCAGCAGCCGCCTTAGCAGACGCAGCCGCCTCAGTAGACGTAGCTGCCTAAGCAGACGCAGCCACCGCAGCAGCAGTAGCCGTAGTCTGCCCTTTGTCTCCTTGGTCTTTCTCCAGGTTCCCCTGTCCGCCCACCCATTCCCCCTCCAGTGCGTGACCCTGTTTATGGACCGTTGTTCCCTCCTCTGGACTCCTCTCTGGCTCGTTTTCCCCCGCGCTCCCCTCCGTCCCCTGGCTTGTCCCCCGTTCCCCCTCGTCCCAAGTCCCAAGTTCTTTCCTAATGGGTCCGTCACCCCTCTGGTGCTCGTCCTGTTTCTCCCCGTCGTAGTGTCCACTCTATGGTCTGTTCTCATGCTTCTTTAGTCCCCGTGCTTCCGTTACCTCCTCCGGCGTCTCTCCCGCAGTCCCCCCCTCCTCTCTCTGACGCCGCTCAGACTGCTCGTCTTACCCTCTCATGCTTGCTTGCGTCGCTTGTCACTGACCCTAGTGCTCCTCCTGAGGCCATCTCTGCACTTGTCGCTACTGTTGCTAACTTTGCTGCTAGCCACCGCCTTGACTACGATGCCGCTCTTGTCGCTGGTACTGCCCATCCTCCATCCGTCGGGGGTTTACCTGCCCTTGGCAGTGACGTGCTAGAGGACAGACAGTACAAGTTGGCCTACCTTGCTGCCGTTGTCTCTGCTCCATGCTTGTATCCCCAGAGGGTGACCCAGACGCTCTCGACATCCCTGTTCTGCACTCTTACGCTGAGGCGGTGTCGGGGCCCTGGGCAGCCCAGTGGATACAGGCCATGGAGGCTAAGATGGCATCCTACAGATCCACAGGCACTTACGTCGACACAGTCCCCCCGCCTGGGGCGAACGTAGTCAATGGCATGTAGATCTACAGGGTGAAACGCGCACCTGGAGAGCTGCTGAATTCCAAGGCACGTTATGTGGCTAGAGGCTTCATTCAGCGTGAGGGTGTGGACTTCTTCCTGACCTTCTCCCCGACCCCGAAGATGATTACTCTTCGGGTCCTTCTTCATATAGCCGCACAGCATGACTACGAGCTTCACGCACTCGACTTCTCCACAGCGTTCCTGCAGGGTAGTCTGCACGAGCAGATCTACCTCCGGCGCCCTCTAGGATTCTCTGGGTCCTTCCCACCTGGGATCGAGTGGAGCCTGCGCTGTCTTGTCTGCGGCCTTTGTCAGGCACCCCGTGAGTGGCACGACAGGCTTTGCACCACTCTTGCTGAGCTGCAGTTCTTTCCGTCCTCTGCTCGTCCTTTGTTCGCACGAGTCAGACACCATTCTACATTCTAGTGTACGTAGACAATCTTATCTTTGCTACTCTTGACAGAGTGGCACTGGCCTCAGTGAAGGCTGAGTTACTTAGGAGAAACACCTGTACAGATTTAGGGGAGCTGAGGGGCTATCTGGGCTTGGAGATCTCTCGTGACCGTGTTGCTCGCACGATCACACTCTCTGTTCCACTTCCGGCTGAGCCGGTTGAGGCTAGTGGTCCATACGCACAGCTGGTGGGGTGTCTTATGTACCTGATGACTTGCACTCGACCAGACCTAGCGTACCCTCTCAATCTCTTGGCTTGCTTTGTTGCGACAGGCAGGCACCAACCAGTCCACTTGTCAGCTGCCAAGAGGGTACTGCGGTATATGGCGAGTACATCAGGACTGGGGCTTGTGCTAGGAGGACGGGAGCCAGTGGTGCTCACTAGACACACAGACGCGTCGTGGGCTGACGACGTGGAGATGCTCAGGTTGTCTCAGGGCTACTGTTTTAGTCTTGGTGCTGGTGTAGTCTCATGGAGGTCCACGAGAAAATGCCTCGCGTGGCATCAGCAGCACAACCGCGTGCGGCAGCTGAAGTTGCCACCGCTGGATGATTGCTGCGTGCCCATTGGGCACTTATGCATTTCCTGGCTTGGTAGCAGCCAGCACATCAACAGCACACTAGGCTGTGAGTAGCAATTATGCTACTCACGCATGCACCACACAGTTCGTAGCTCTGCTTAGGAACGTCCTTCACCCCTTCATGCGCCATGAAGCCCAAGAGGTGGGTGAACATGTGATGGGCGCATCTTCCTTGCAGATGAACTCGTTCCTTGAACCCAAGAAGCTCTGCAGCATTCTCGGAGCGGCAATCGTTGTCCTCATCGAGTACAACCACAAGCAGGCACCAGTCGTGAAGACGCTGAAATTTCATTACTGCCTGAACTTCCTCGCTGACGTCCTCGCCGAGATGAACACCCTCAACAGGTTCTTTCAGAGGCGCTCTGTAAGTGGTGGCTTTAACGAGACGTACTTTCATTTGGCGTATCTCGTTGCATGATTGCACGGTCTTGCTATGTGTTTAACTTGGCAGTCATGTGCGTGAGTTTACTGTAATTCCTTTCATTTTGTACATCCGCGTGCCCTATGCCCTTTCCATCAGGTGGACACCACCCTGATGTCCCAGGAGGTTGACCGCACGGTCACCTACATCCGGCACCATTACATCGAGTACGGTGCGACATTCGGGGCGGGCCTGAGCAAGAGGCTGACCAAGTTCCTGCAGCGGCACGCCAGCGGCAAGCACAGCATCACCGTCGATGGCGTGGAAAACGACGAAGTCCCTGCATGCACGCATTCAAACTCTCGGAGGAGGAGCTACCCGGCCACAAGTTCGGCGGCAGCATGTTGGACTGTGAGGACCTCTGCTCCGCGTTCGCCAAAGACATGGTGGCGAATGTGGTGCAGAGGTTGTGGGATCTGAAGCGGATGGGCAGCGCGGGACTGTTCAAAGTTGAGTGCTGGCCGAAGAAGGGAGAAGTGCGCGAGCGGCGACATCTCTCCTGGGTCGCATCCAGTGTCGCCCTCTTTGACCACAAGCTACCAGGTAAGCCAGTTTGCCTTGCCCTATGATGGATACTAAACCGTTGTCCTCTGCTTCTATTCCAAACCCCAATTCCAGGAGTGAACCAAAGGGCGGCCGAGCTGGAGCTCAAATGCTTCGCTCACATCATGAAGAACCACCGGGCGGATGATGACTTCAACCAGGGGCTGGCTGCCATGCTCAAGACCCGCGACTGGCCCAAGAGCTACCCCAACCTAATGGCATTGTGGCAGGCCATGGCTGTTCCACTGAGCACAGTGGAGTGTGAAAGAGGACTCAGCAGACAGAACGTGATCAAGTCGTGGCTGCGGACGAGCTTGTGCGATGCGAGGCTGAGTGAACTCATGACGATCAACATGCTGGACTACGACATGGACTACGCCGAGATCATTGACATCTGGAGGAAGCAGAAGACGCGAAAGTAGGCTAAGACTATGGCCTATGAGGCTCCCCTCGACAAGGGCAAGAGTGCAGCTGAGGATTCGGATAAGGAGATTGCGGCTAGTGAGGGTTCAGATGAGGATGATGATGATGACGATGATTGATGAGATGCTGCTCTGTTGCCATGCCATATGGATGTGTGACTTAGTACTATGTGCTGGACAAATTTTAGATCTCTTCCAAATTCTAGGCGGACAGGGTTTTTTTTTCTGACAAGGCACAAAACCCTGGCAAATCAGAGTTCCAGGTCCAGGGCACCCTGGATTTCAGAGTTGGCTAGAGGTACTGGTGAAGATCAGAGTTCTGAAAAGTCAAAGATAAGCTCTGTTCCCTTCCCCTCTTCCTAGTCACACTTCTTCCCGCTACTCTAACAAACCCTGCCATTCGTTCGTTCCTTTTGCAGGGATTTGGACGATAGGCTTCTCATTCCTACCACAGGGTTTTCGTGCCAGACCTTGCCACTTTTTTCTGCGGAAAATCTTGACGAGAATATGGTAGCAAGCCGTTCTGACTCCACGCAAGACTAGACAATGCCAGTCCTCCAACCCAAGTGTCAGATGCGGTTGACTGACAACAACAATTGTCGGAAAGCGCCAGCCATCTGCAATGGTAGACTTAGAGTACAGGGACTTAACGAGAGAAGTCGGCAGCAATAACAGTGATGTTGTACCACCAGTCGAGCGATACAGTGGTGTTGAACTTGAGAGTGGCACCCGGGGGGATTATCACCGAGTTGTCGGGTGCACCCAGGGGAGGGAGTACCTGCGAGGGGGAATAGAAATGGTGGAGTTGATAGACAGAATGGACGATGATTAGCTGGAGTTGGGAAGGGTGAAGCATGAGGAGGGCAGTGAGAGAGAGAAGAGAGAGAAGAGAGAGAGAGAGAGAGAGAGAGAGAGAGAGAGAGAGAGAGAGAGAGAGAGAGAGAGAGAGAGAGAGAGAGAGGGGGGGGGGGGGGGGGGGAGAGAGAGAGAGAGAGAGAGAGAGAGAGAGAGAGAGAGAGGGAGAGAGAGAGAAGGGGGGGAGAGGGGGGGAGGGAGGGGGGGAGGGAGGGGGGGAGGGAGGGAGGGAGGGAGGGAGGGAGGGAGAGAGGGAGGGAGGGAGGGAGGGAGGGAGGGAGGGAGGGAGGGAGGGAGGGAGGGAGGGAGGGAGGGAGGGAGGGAGGGAGGGAGGGAGAGAGGGAGAAATGTCAAGAGAGGAGAGGAAGATCAAAAGGGGGAGCGGAGAGAGCAGCAGGAGGGAACCAGCAGGAGAAGTACCACTCAGAGGAAGGAGCAAGCAGAGGAAGGAGCAAGCAGGATGACCTGCCACGGAGGAAGATAAAGCTCCGAACTCCAAGATCTCACATGCTCACACAATGCCGATGAGCGAGGCACGGCATGGAGGGCTGTTACCATGAACAGCAGGTTGTGTTTATCTATGCCATATCCAATGAAGCGCAAGCAGGGAATGAGGACGTAGGAGCGAAATATGTCACTGTTGATGTTGATGCTCAGGCGAGAGATGGCCCGCTGCTGACACGTGTTGGTCAGAATGACCTGAGAAGGCGTGGGAAGTGGGGAGGAGGGAGGAGGGCAACGGGTTGGGAGGGGCGGATGGGAGAGGAGGAAGGGATGTGGCGAGGAAAGGGACGTGGGGAGGAAAGGGGGTGGAAAGCAGAAGATGAGGAAGAAATGAGGCAATTGGATGGGAGGTTAAAGGAGATATAAGATTAGAAGGGAGAGCAGGGGTGGCGAGAGCTCTATATAGAAAAGCAAGGATGGGCTGCAGTGGCGCAATAGCCAAAAGCAAGGATGGGCTGCAGTGGCGCAATAGCCAAAAGCAAGGATGGTCTACACTGGTGCAATAGCCAAAAGCAAGGATGGGCTGCAGTGGCAAAATAGCCAAAAGCAAGGATGGGCTGCAGTGGCCCAATAGCCAAAAGCAAGGATGGGCTGCAGTGGCGCAACAGCCAAAAGCAAGGATGGGCTGCAGTGGCGCAATAGCCAAAAGCAAGGATGGGCTGCAGTGGCGCAACAGCCAAAAGCAAGGATGGGCTGCAGTGGCGCAATAGCCAAAAGCAAAGTGGGGCTCCAGCTACGCCATCGAGCTAGTGAAGAAACGCATATAAGGAGATGGTGGTTAAAGCCCCATTCTCATAAGGACTACGAACCAAGTCGGAGATGGTGGTTAAAGCCCCATTCTCATAATTCAAGGAAGTGACCAAGAGTAAAATGTTTGATACCCAGTTACTCTGGCGAATGTGAAGTGGCAGGCTTGGAAATGCCTCGGACAGTGTGATGTGCTGAGAGTGGGGAGACCAACTGTAAAACCAGTTCTGCAATATGAGAATCCGCAAGTTCACGGAACAGTGATGCTGGACCGTTAGATCAGCATGAGCTTTTGGTATGTCGGTTCAGTGACCAGGCGTTTGTAAACGGAGCGAAAAGTTGTTGTGCAAAACAGTTGGAGTTTGCACCACCTGATGTGCTAAACCTGATGCGAGCCAGCCTTTTCCACACCTGTTTCTTGGTTTGGAAAATTTTGTCGAAACAATAGGGCCTCGCCACATGCCTTTCGTTTTCGTCCATTTGTTTACACCTCGCGTACCAATCAGAGCCTGTCTGTCTCGACCAAGTGTAAAACTCTAGTAATTATCAGATGGGGGCTTTAAAATGCGAGAAGGGCGAAGGGCGGAGGGAGGAGGAAGACCTCATAAGGGTGTTTGGGTTGCACGAGACGGTTGCTGGGGAAGGCAACTTGGTCATAGCGGAAGAACGTCACCACCACTGCTTTCTCGGCGCTGCCATCCCTGCACTCTGCAAAGCAGTCGGGTGGATAGGGGGAGATGGGGGCACGGCAAGGGGGAATAGTAGATAGGGAAAGATCGGGGTATGCAGATATGGCACAAGGAACAGAGCAAGTGGGAAGAGGGCACAGAAAGGACAGAAGAGCAGAAGCGCGGAAGAGAAGGCAAGGGGGATGGGGAAAGGGAAAATGGTAGCAGGGAGAGGGGCTAGGGAGTGTGGGAGGCTATTGGCTTGAAGCTTCTGCCGGCCCACCTGCGGCTGCGGGTAAGCCTGCAAACAAATATCACTGGTTTCGGATTCGTATTCGGTACTCGAAAAATATCAAATGCAAAACGAATCTGACATCCTGAAGCTATTCGGCAGTATTAGACTCTCAAATATTCCCAAGTTCCGAATATTCGACGCTCAAATATTCGATATCCGGGAAAATATTCGTATTCTTGTGAGCCTACCATACATCTCCCCGACTCCCCTTTCCTCTCAAGATCGGCAGCGCAGTATAAGCGAAATCGGTGAAATCTGATGGTTGCGCAATTGGCTGATTGCGGCCTCCGTAAAACCAATCAATCGTGGACAAAAACGAAAACAGGATTCTTGAGCGTGACATGTTGTTGGATAAATAACCTACCATAATCACAGCTACTTCGACGATATGCCAGGAGGAGTGGAAGTGATTGGGGATGGGGGTGATAGAGTATCAAGGTTAGAGGGGCTATTTCTATCTCGGTCTTCAGTGGGAAGCCCCAGAAGACACCCGAAACCCTGTTCTGACCACCTATTCGTATTCAATTCCGTATTCGTCTCTAAACCGAATATTCGAACCGTATTCGTATTCGAATACGAAGTGGTATTCGATCAAATACGAAAACACACAAGTATTCGATACCGCATTCGTTTTTGCAGGCTTACCTGCGGGCAGTGTTGGTGGTTGTAATGGTGCTGCCACAACTGCCGCGGCACCCGAGGCGAGAACCCGATGGAAGGGACGAGAGGACCCGGAGGCGTTGGCCAGCTGCATACTGCTCAGCCCCTCCCACACACTGCCGCTGCCACTGCCACCGTCAGCAGCAACTGCTGCCTCATCTGCAGCAGCAGCAGCAAGGGCAGCAGCAGCAGCAAGGGCAGCAGCAGAAGGGTCGACAAAAGCAGCAGCAGCAGGAGGGGCAGCAGCAGCAGTGCTATGGAGATCCATGCCATCACTAGAGCCCTGCTGCTCGTTTCTCTCCCCTCGCTCCCCTTCACCCGCTCTCAGCATCCGTCTCATCCATTGCTGCCTCACCCCCACCCTCCCTTCTGCCGCCACCGCCTCTTCCCCAACAATCCCTCCCCGTGGGCCCTCGCTGTGCACAAAGTCCCCCCCTCCGCCCTCAAACCTCCCCCGACCTGGCGCTGCCCCCCCCAAAGTTGCCACCCCTGCCGTCCCCGCCAGCATCAGCACCGCCGCTAGAGCGAGCCAAGGCAGCGCGGGGGAAAGCATGCGGCGGGAGAGAGCGTGCGCCATGGTCAAGGGGAAGAAGGAGCGAGCGGAAAGGGGCGGCTGAGATGGCGCAAGTCTAGGCGGAGCAGCGGACGGTGGGCGGCGAGGCGGTGCAGAATGAGTGGCGGAACTCGCGGAGTGGGTGAGAGTGGACGATGCTGCTGCTGCGACTTGCATCCCCAGTAAGGCACGGGATCGCTCCCTGGCCGCCAAGAGTGACTCTTTCCGCATGGAAGCTCTGTTTTGGATGTTTGAGCTTCAAGCTGCAAGGTGGGGAGAGAGGAAGTGAGGGGCTGCGTTGCTCCCCATGAGGTGCAGCCAGCGGGTGAATGGCCTGCCAGGGGTTGAATGGCCTGCCAGGGGATGAATGGCCTGCCAGGGGATGAATGGCTTGCCAGGGGACATCGCAAAAAAGTGGCAATCTAAAAACCATTCGAGGTGGAGCGAGGATGCCGACTATCTGCAGAACATTCAAATACCATTCGCAGAACGTTCGCGTAGCATTTGGCAGGGTGTAAATGTAAAATGTATGTTTTGCAAAAGCTACGATTTCTAAACCCTATGATTTCAAAGCGATAAGCGTCTGTCCAATCGTAGTACACTCCTGTGTTTTTTTTGTTATGTTCGAACGTAATTGTTTATGTATGGAATATATCATGTGTGGGAAATAAAAATGATAGGGTTTGTTGCTATATTATTAGTGGGGTCATCACCTGCTGCGAGCACTGTGAATGGTTGTCGCTGCAAACTAAAAGTATCATGCTCAGTACGAGTCACTCAATTGTCAACCTCTAAGACAAGGTCAATTTAAACAAAGTCATGCATAAATAAGAGCGCAACCGGTGGTTCAGAAAAGAAACCGGTTAACGAGCCGGTACTTCGGGTCCGTGCAGCACGGAACCACATGTGCAAGGCTCAGGATGCTGTCCACGTCCACAACGGCATAGTTGTCGATGCCCAAGGTTGGCGTCAGGCGCTTGCACCTGGTGATGGGGCAAGGCTTCTGCGCCTCGGTGTAGTACTGGATGAACGCCCCGCGCTTCTCCACCTCCCCATCCTGGTAATGGAAAAGCACCAGGACACGACCATACCACGGCTCCCCCACGCCGCCGCCAGGCCTGATCGAGACGTCAGAGAAGAGGCGCTCGTGAGGGCTCGCCTTCACGAACTGGCCCTTTGAGGTCCACTCCATGCTGTCATGGGGGGGGATGGCCATGGCTGTGTGGACCTGGGTTTAGGGTAGGGGGCAATGGGGGGAGTTCAGGGAAGGCGGGTGGGTGTAGAGAGGGGGCACGAGTGTGCCTTGAATTATCGTAGATGGGAGGGCAGCGCTTGGCAAGGAGGCATGGTACCATGGCACATGATAGTCATATTGTATGATTAGACGGATTGAGCTCAGGAGGGGATAGAGGGGAGACGTGGACAGAGGGGCCACGGTAGGGTTTAGGGTGTGGAAAAAAGAGAGCCCGGTCCCACCAAATTGCTGCCATTCCATGCCATTCACTGGCCAAACCCCACCAATCCCACTGGTACCGCTCCCAAGGCCCCCTCCCCGTCCCACTTGACTCATTCCTTGCTATTCCCTGACTCTCTCTCCAAATCCTGCGAGAGCTTGCTGTTCGCGGCCCTTTCCCTCCCACTCCCACTCCCATTCTCAGTGATTCCTTCCTACCCCGTTCCCTCCAATTCCCCCCCATCCCCGTGCATTCCCTCCTATTTCCTCCCATCCCCGTCCATGGCCTCCCATTCCCTCCCATCTCTGTCCATACCCTCCCATTCCATGCCATGCCCATTTATTAAATGGGACCCTAAGAGCTGAGGTAGCCAAGTAGTCAATGCAGTCTCCCATTCCATGCCATCCCCATCCATTCCCTCCCATCCCTGGGATACCCTCCCAGGCCATGCGATCCCCGTCCATTCCCTCCCATCGCTGTTCATACCCTCCCATTCCATGCCATCCCCATCCATTCCCTCCCATCGCTGTCCATACCCTCCCATTCCATGCCTTCCCAATCCATTCCCTCCCGTCCCTGTCCATACCCTCCCATTCCATGCCATGCCCATACATTCCCTCCCATCACT